AAGTAGAACTTTGTACTTATTTTTATCTTGTGATCCAAGTATTAGAATATGATGTGGAATGCCAGGAAGTAAAATCTTTTTAAAAATTAAATGTGGTTTAATTAAGTGGCCAATAGAGATGGAGAAAATACACTGATATTCCATTGGTGAATATTAATCCCATTTAAATTTATGCAAGAGTTATGTACTTACACCAAATAGAACTGGATGTTCAGTATCTCCAAATACTGCTGCTGTTCTCAATATGGCCATAACCCTCTTGTCTACTTCAGATAAGCTATCCACATTAGCAGGCCATCACCAGTACATAACAGCATCCTCCCTATATTGTGCTCTAGATTGTAATTGTATCCTTTGTTTAAAGTCTATCCAGCACTGTAAAAAAGTATATGAATAAACCCATATATGTACATGGAACAAAATGCCTTTTTTATAATCCAAGAAAATTATCCATGAATGTGTGTAAACCACATTTGCAAATATTAAAAAAAGGTAGTAACTATTTGAAAAGATACAGATACATTGAATTAAAGAAACTATTTTCAAACCAGTTTATGCTTTTGTAATTAATGGCCATAGGTACATGTTTTTTGAAAGTGATCCGAGTACAAAAAAGGTTCATACAAAGTTTAGTCCAATAAAAATTGAATTACTGCAAAAATGTATAAATGTCCTCGTTTCTCAAGTTACTTAAATAAAAAAGTGTTCCGATAAAATATTGTAAGAAAACATAGTCTTTAAGAAAAATTGTGCTATTACTTCATTAAAGATAATTTTACAAGAACCAGTTTTCTTATCATTATTCCTTCATAAATTATTATTTAGCCATTAACATTTCACTAACTTTCATCACTTTCATTTTTTTGCAATTACATATTTGTCTATCAACATTGCACTATTTTTTCTTCTATAGAAGTTTTCAACTTTTTTGAATTAACTTATGAATAAGAGGGATACAACAGAATAAAGAATATAGCGAAAGGCAAATTATAATGTTATGATGAAAAATAAGATGCAGCACAATTATAAAAAGTATGAACTAGAGATGACAAAAGGATGAATAACATGAATTCACCCTTTTCCAGCATTGTCCATTTTTGTAGCTCCAGATCCATGAGCATTCAGACATATCACTAATTCGTTCGACTTTCTAACACTAGTCTTTCTTGATCTTCCTCCAAGCCCAAGACTGCACTTGGCTAAATTCGGATGAATTTCTAAAAAGGCAAGTAGCTCATCAATTTGCAACGTTGAGTCTATGTTCCATTTTGAAACTTTAACACAAACACCTCCTAGTCAGACAAAATCTCAAACACAAATAAGCACTATGTTCACATCATACATAGTTTATGTATGTCGAATTTAGTAAATTAAATAACAATAGAGAGCTTACGTTTTATTATAAAAGTCTTCTCAAAAGTAAAAGTTCGTTGTAGGATGTATCATTCTCTTCAGCCCTTTGTAAACCTAGCTCAAAGGCATCAATTGCGTCTTGTGCTGTGACTTGTGGAGCAGTTGCAATCATATCGTTGTTATTTTCTTGATTGTTTGTTGTATAATTAAAAACCTCTTTTATAATCTCTTCGTCAGACATTTCATGAAAAACATTTTCCTGTTTATCCATTCCACGGCACCATATTTCCAAATCTTCCGGACTTATGTGTTTCAGTAGCGAATTGTTGTATAACTTCCGAAGTAACACTGATTTGTGGAACGTTGCTAGGAGTGGTGACTATATCTGGCCATAACTTTTTCCAAGTCGATTTAATAGTTGATGACGGTAACGCATTCCACGACTGACAAAGAGCAAAAACCAAGTATTTCATATCAAATTCTTTTAAAGTTTTTTCTATTGGTTGGTCTTTTGATACGGCTCTCAGAAGTAGGTTTTTCTTATAGTCTTGCTTGACAAACTGAATGATATTCTGGTGCAATGGTTGAATCAGTGCAGTGCAATTTGGCAGAAGAAACATCGCAGTGATGCATTTATCATCAGTTGTTAGTTCTTCTTCAGACGGATGACTGGGAGCGTTATCAAGAAGCAACAACGCTTTTTGAGGAAAATTATGATCTTTTAACCATTTTCTAACTTCAGGTACGAAGCATTCATCAAACCACTTTTTGAAAAGGTCTTTTGTCATCCATGCATTTTTTTGTCCGTAATAGTGTACAGGTAAATCAATGTTTTTGAATGCCCTTGGTTTATTAGATTTCCCAATGACCATCAACTTAAGCGCGTGTGTGCCCGCAGCGTTAGCACATGGTAGTATGGTTACACGCTTTTTACTTACTTTTCGTCCAGGTACGGATTTTTCGTTACAAGAAACGAAAGTTTTGTTAGGCATCACATGCCAAAAAAGCCCTGATTCGTCTGCATTGTACACCTGTGACGGGTCAAGATTTAAATCGTTCGCCTTTTGCAAAAATCTCAATTTAAAGGGCTCTATGCAGGTGGCATCGTTAGAAAGTTTCTGTCCTGTAATAGTAATTAAACGTATGCCATGACGACTTTTAAAACGTTCTAGCCATCCTTTGCTGGCCACAAAATCATCTTTTTTTGTTATTTCCTTATAAAAAAACTTAGCTTTCATGGTCAACATGGGTCCTGAAATTGGTGCATGCACTGCATGCCTATTTCTTTCCTGAAGAAACCACATGTACAAAGCTTCTTCCACTTCTGGACGTTCAGCTTCCTTGAGTGTCTGTCTCTTGCCTGGCCCGCAGTCAGTAGTTGACACGAACTTCTTGATCCTCTCGTGGTTTCTTTTAATGTCATAAATTGTAGATCGGCCTTCGCCGTATTCACTTGCTAAACTACTGAAAGTTTCATTGCGATTTAAGCGGTCTAAAATATCACATTTTTATTTAATTTTCAATGTTTTGTGCTTTAGCTTCTGAGTTTGTGATGAGATTACTAGGAACTATACTTAAGACACAATGAATAAATAGTAAACAAGAAACGCACGCTAGGCCGTACCGCTATCACCAGTAGTCAAATTCAACAAAAGTAAAACAATGCTTACGCGTCGAGCACGATAGCGGTGGCGCGTACAAGTTGTAACCTGTTCAAACCTGCGTGATCTACATTAGCGAAGATTGTCAAAACGTATTTATGTAATACATATTCAAAGACATGTCAGATTACAGGGGGCGCCGGATTAGACAGGGGCCGGATTATCGGGGGTCCACTGTATACTTACGTTTTCAGTTTTCAACACAACTAGGTCCGATAATTAATCAATAAATTCACAATCACGATCCACAATGTATTTATCATTTTTCGATTTGTAAACACGACCATTGTTTACCATCGTATGTCACTTTAATTCCACCGGTTGCTACTCGATTGCTAGAGGCGCTGTTTGGGTCGCAAAAATTGCATTCAATGACAGTTGGGCAACCGGTCGCCAATTGCGTTAGGGAATACAAATTTTTCGGTCGCTCGTCAACCGGTCGCAAGTCGGTTACTCACCGATCAGAGTTAGAAATTTTTACGTAATAAGCCTGCGGGGTCTGGGAGATGAAGTGTTGTGGTGTGTTCTATATGGTTGTGGCCGCCACTGAAGTTATCATCACCAGGTGGTATCAACCATCAAGTAGTGCCTTGGTGTTTGTTCTTTGGTGTTGTTACAATGACCTATTTGGGAATATAACTTTTCAATGACTAAAATGAAAATGGCACATCTGGTGACGTAGCACTAGTCCACAAAAAATGGCTGACTTACAGAAAGAAGGAGCTATGGTAACCGCCTTATCAACTACAAGACTTTTACATTAGATCCTAAAAAAAGAAGAATCGCAGACTGATAGGTGGGAGTTGTATCAAATTAAAAGTTCTACGATACAAAGAAAATTATACTTGGGAAAAAATGTTGCAGAGAGCCACTCAAGCGTTGCTACAGTTTTGCAATGTTTCATTCTATAATCATACCATTTTATGAAATAAGTATAATTTAGTTTGATTGTCATCTCCACAAGAGCCATAGCCATAGATAACTTTGCCTGTAGATGAAAAATCCCAACCCCCCGCTCTCCCAAGAGCTGATATACTACTAGAAATTAGTGACGTACATAGGTATATATTATTTGTGCTTTTCCACGTGAGTGATTGACGTTTTCCAGGTAAAACACGTACTGTGCTAGCTGGGTGGTGGAGCAAAATTGATTGCATATTGGAAGTAATAGCTGTATAACAAGCATCAACCTATTTCCCTTTCAAAATATGAGAAACTGGGTGATATTTGACATTGTAGAGTCTATGTAGTGGATTGGGACAGTGACACTAATTCACAATAGCATGATTTGAACAATGTTTATGTGTTATCTCATCAGTGGCATAGAGATGTACAATATATGTATCATATATCTTGATAATGGGACATTTTTGGACAAAAGGTTTCCAGAATGATTTGTGTAATTCTTGTATGTAATTTCATCCCTAAAAATACTGCCATGTTTTTCTGAAACTTCGCTGAACAGCATAAATGTACTTTGTCCTCCCTCAATATCATGATCAGATTTCGCATTATAAACAAACGAAATCGCATTATAAACAAACGAAATCGCATGCACATTCCTGGCGTTGCTTATATACATTCTCGCCAAACTTTCATTATTTATAGTTCCACCAGACTTCCAGCCAAAAAGGTGGCACCACCGTCGGGGTTATAGCCCAAGAAATGTCTTCACATCTGCTCCGGAAATTAATCTGATTTAAATAAAATAATTATCTGCATATTATTCGAAAAAGCCCCTTGTAACAAATTTACATGAATTATGACCCAACTTACGTCTCTAAATGTTTGCACAATGTTTTTCAAACAGATTCCAAAAATTGATTTTTGGCATTTGTGTCGCCAGACGAATGAATCTTAACCGCTCCTAAGGAAAAACTTCTGTATGCCCACAGACGCGGACAGGTTAAGCGCCAAAATTTTTACAAAAGCTTTATACTTAATGAATATTTGATTATGAGTGGATTAAATTATTCACAGTTCTGATGTTTTACATATATACTCATATAATTCAACAATTAAGATATTTTACAGGTGTTTTGAAAATATCACATGTATTTTCCAGATGTCAGAATTTCTTAATAAACAAGGATTAAAACTTGAATTCCCTAATATTTTAACCATGCCTTTATCATAAATTACAAAAAAGAATTAAAGGATGCACATTTCCAAGTGATGTTTTGGAATATAAATAAATATTAAGATTAATAATGATTTACAAAATCTATAAAGTTATATACACAAATATAACTGAAAAAAAATACAATTGCAATAACTAGAAATTCATCAAAATACTTCAGCCAATGTTATGTAGAAGTGTCATGGAATCTTTATTGGTGTGTAAATTCTCGTCATCGTCTTCCTCTTCCTCCTGTAACAAAAACAGTACGTTACATACCTAGTTTGAGAAGCGAGCTCTAATTGGTCGAGTGCCTGAATCGAGTAGAGCAGAAAGACTAAAGGTGACCATCTGCTTTACCATCAAAGGTCATTTGTCACTGTCAAGTCCAACTGGCTTGTTCACAGACGGTACTTACACTCAGATATCACCAAATTTTAGAATATGATAGAATTTATTAATGTAACAATTTTTAAATAACTTTTGAGCCACCTATGTAGACAATCAAATTTTTTCAAATTTTGTGGTATATTTAGCATAGACGGGTGCGGTAGAACGTACTATATCGACTTTACGCGGCTACAAATTTGTAAATATGTAATGGAAGTGTGGCGAGTTTGTCTAGTAGGATTAACGTGAGGCGGCATCATGATTGGCCAAATAAGTCTCATAAGGGCGTATAACTGAAGATTTGTTGGGCTATTCGAAAAATGTATGACGTTTTATTTAAAAAAATCGTGCAGAGTTAACCATATTTCATGTAGTAGATCTTGGCTGGAATTTTAAGCTTCCTATGTTATCATCCGTTGAATTCGAATTCTATACTAAAGTTACTACTACTAAAATATCAGCACATTTCACATATCTCTCTATAAGTGGAGTTACTATCATCTGGCCCTATTTTGTACCCTTAAGCTTGTCTTTTTTTTTCTACCACACTAGAATTACTTGTACTTTTATGGACATTGGCACACTATCGACCGTGGAACAATATTTGTGGAGTGTATTGCCTACCTTGTGGGGAGTTCTGTGAAATATTACGAGGGAGGTGCGTTTTACTACCAGATGAAGTTCAAAAATTATTTTCTAAATTAATAAAAGTTATTGTGGAAGGGATGTCATTTTGATGTTATCCTTATTCCGTGCTAGGAAATAGGAAAGAAATTTCAGAACATGAGGAAAGATAATAATAGATCAGATAAATAATATTGATTATTAATAGTGAAAAATTATGCAATTAGTGCGATTATTGAGAAAGATCAACGTTGGGAGAGATATGATGCTTTTCCACTTTTTCGCAGTTCAACAAGTATGCGTAAACAACGCTAAGTTGCTTACCGTTGCAACCGTTTTGATAGATGGTTTTCTCTGTCTCGGACCTTAATATCACTATATCATATTTAATGCCCTGTAGTGTTGACGTGTGAAGTAAAGGTACATCTTTCTGCATGCAGTCTGGTATCACTTTTGTGTGAGGTTATTTTACCTTTTAGTGATCTCGTTTTTGTAACTAACATGAATTAGTACTAGTTTACCGTGTGTGGAACACAATATTTCGGATTAGTTCAAGTAAATAGGCGGATTAGGTTACATTTTTTGAGGATCTGTGAAATGTGGTCCATGCAGGAGTGCGAAACACCCCACCACGCAGCATTAATATGATGTTAAGTAGGTTGACTCGTTCAAGGAATAACTTAATTAGGAATTGGGATATATTTTGTCAGCGTCTGCGAAATGTGGTCCATGCAGAAGAGTGAAACACCTCACCGTGCAACATTTAAATGACGTCAAGTAGGTTGACTCATTCAGAGAATAACGATATTTGGCGGATTAGGATAGATTTCGCGATTGTCTGCGAAATGTGGTCTATGCGGGAGGGTGAAACACTCCAACATGGAACAATAAATAACTTCAAGTAGATTGGCTCGTTAAGGGAATGACGTTATTAGGTCACACAATGTCAGGAACCGTACGAGGCTGAATGGTACCACAGTAAGATGAAAGTCTTAAGTTAGTCAATCTCTTAATTGAGATACTTTACACTATAATCGTTCCTGTAATCACAGATACGGTGTAAACAGTACTTTTTTAAAAGCAAATTAATGGCAGATAGATACAAATTTATTGTAAGGCGGCGAGAATGTTTATGTGTGGGTTTATCATCAGTGGAAAACAGTACCGGCCTGCCTTACTGGTTTATTATTAGCAACTTAATGTGGGAAAGTTTCGTAATTCCGCGAAATGACCCCACGCGTACTTTTTATTATCGTTTGAGGATCTTACCTTAGAAATAGAGTTAATGTAGATAACTTTGAAACTGCAAGGCATGACAGTATACCTGTGGGGTTACTGTAGTTTTTTCATTGGAGCAAAGTTTGGAGGAAGACATTTTCATCAGAGATCTAAAAAATAAGGCTTAGAAACTGGAATCGCTTGGAAGGTAGCACTTGTTGATTGAGTAAGTGCATTAGAGGGGCAATTTTTCATATAAGATCAGAGAAGTGCAGCTAAATCTTGGAACTGCAAGTATTGACTTTGCATTTAGATGGTAGCACCTTCCCAATTGGGTTATTATCCTATAAAATAACCTAGAGATTATGATTTACAATGTTACCACTGTTAGCTATAAACTTTTTCCTTTGCCTTAGGTTGATGATTATCAAACGAGCAAAGTTTCGTGTGTGAAATTTAAGATATATGATCGAGCAAGAATATTTTGAGACTTGTTCATGATAGATAGGAACTACTTTTGTCGACTTTTGATATCAGGGTGATTTCCTTCTAACATTCGAGAGATACCGATTTGCGAGAGAATTTAGAATGCTTATGTGCAACCAAAAATTGAAAAATCCTATATGCTGTTATGGTAGTCATGCAAAGCTTCAGTTCCCAATATATCCTTTTGAAAACGCTGATAAGCTTGGCATCTGTGATATATTATAAGGGTATATCAATTACCGAAAAGTTTCTTATTTGGAGGGGATTATTCTGAAGGGCCTTCCAAGGGTATTGCACGTTCCGCACAGTCTCCAGCTACAAGACTTCATTCACAAGTCAGATATTTACGTTTCATAGGAGTACAGGAGATAATATTTATCTTGTTATATCAAATCCACTTTCTTCGAGTGGTTCTTGATTCGTAGAAAAAAGTAGCAATACTCACATAATAGTACGAATAGGTGTAAACGGCAAATAAGACTTGTAGAGTGTCAGCTTTTTTGTAGTAGCAATTTTAATATGGAATTCAAATGAAGTGGATTTTAACATAGGAAGTGAACTTAGAAATCAAGGTGTATATGAATAAATACACAAATTCAGCGGAGGCAATACACATAAATTTATCTGATTCGATTAGCGTAGTGTAATTTCTCCTAATGTTTTATTAAAATACAGTTGATTTATTTCTTAATATCTTAATTCCTGCCACACATCGAAACTTGAGATGTTCTCTCTGCAAACTTGTTTTTAACTTGTTACTGGGGCCCTATTCCATAAAAAGTATGGTGTAATAATTACAAGTCAATTTACTTGTAACTTGTACTGATACGAAATATTGTGTTCCACACACGGTATACTACTACTAATTCATGTTAGTTACAAAAAATCTTCGCAAGTTGGATGTTTATGTCCATAGATATTTGAAATGTGCTGATTTTTTAATAGTAGTAACTTTAGTATAGAATTCGAATTCAACGGATTATAACATAGGGAGCTTAAAATACCAGCCATGATCTACTACATAAAATATGGCTAACTCTGGACGATTTTTTGAAATAATACGTGTTTTGATGTCATACATTTCTCGAATAGCCCAATAATTATTCAGTTATTTATATATATACGCCCTTATGAGACAAATCATGATGCCGCCTCACGTTAATCCTACTAGACAAACTCACCACACTTCCACTACATAAAGGGTGTTCAGATAAGGACGCTCGAAAGTTAAAATGGAAAAAAAAGGAAAAAAATTTAAGTCAGCACTAAAAGTCTATATTGATCGTAAATAGCATTCGACGACATTATGTATGGAAGATTATATCGTTTAAATGGCCACCGCGACTGCGCTGTACAGCATGCATTCGCATTGTCCAATTTTCGAGCACTTTTCCGCACATTTCAGCGTCTACCTGTCCGAGGACGCGAATGATGTTGGCCCTTAATGCTGCAATTGTTTGTGGTTTATCCGCATACACTTGAGACTTCACGTAGCCCCACAGGAAAAAGTCTAAAGGCGTTATATCGCACGATCTTGGTGGCCAGTGCACATCGCCGCCGCGCGAAATAATGAAACCGTTAAACATTTCATGCAGTAAATCCAGCGTTGCGCGTGCGGTGTGGCACGTAGCGCCGTCCTGCTGGAACCAGATGTCTGTTAGATCCATATCGTCCAGTTGAGGCCACAGGAAATCATTAATCATGGCGCGATACCGATCTCCATTGACCGTAAGCGCGTTGCCCATAGCGTCCTCAAAAAAATATGGACCGATTACGCCGCCAGCCCAGAAACCGCACCATACAGTCACTTTAGCAGGATGCATAGCAATTGAGCAAGTCACTTCAGGATTTTGGTCAGCCCATATACGGCAATTCTGTTTATTGACATACCCATTCATCCAGAAATGCGCCTCGTCGCTGAAGATGATTTTTCGTGCAAATGCAGGGTCGACTTGCAACTGCTCTAGAGCCCATGCGGCAAATGTACGTCCATGGTCTTGCGGTTTCAATTCTTGCGTCAATTGAATTTTGTACGCGTGCAATTTCAAGTCTCGACGCATAATTGTCCATGTTGAGGTCTTTGGATGGGCAAGTTCTTGTGCACGTCGCCGCAATGACTGATTCGGGTCTTGACGCACGCTCTCTCGCACAGCAGCAATATTCTCAATTGTTCTTACTGTTCGTTGCCGTACGGGTGTTGTTTGGTCTGCCACTGAGCCAGTTCTCTCAAATTTATTGAGCAGACGTCGAATAGTGGACTCAGCAGGACGGCCATGCGCACCATAAATTGGACGCAATGCGCGGAACGTTTCACGGACCGAACATCTGTTTTGATGATAAATTTTCACAATTTCCACGCATTGTTGAATCGTGTACTGCTCCATGATTAAATGTCAAGACTAACTTAATAACCTCACAAAATTTGACAGCTGTATCTCCACCGGTTTGGGCGCGCGCGCCGTTCAAACATCGAGCGTCCCTATCTGAACACCCTTTATTTTAACTCTTAAAAACTGGCCGGTAAGGTTTTCCCA